ACCACCCCAGTCACTTTGCATAGCAATGATCTTGGAGTTCAGTTTGCGTTCAACAAGGTTTTGAAAATTGATGAAGACTTGGAATACATCAGACCGTTTCTTTAACAAGTAAATCCAAGTAAATTTACTATAGTCATCAATAAAGCTTACATAGTAAGAAAATCTCCCAATTGAAGTAGGGGCTGGTCCCCATACATCTGAAAATATAAGTTGTAGAGGAGTAGTAGACACACTAGTAGAGATGGGATAGGGTAATTGATGACTTTTTGCTTGTTACACTATTCTCATAAGAGAGTTTATTTTTGCTAAGAACATATTTAACTATGACTGAAGATGGATGACCTAATCGACTATGCCACCTTGATGATGATGGCTTGGTGACAATATTTGCTTGTTTATTGGACCATGAAGATGATGATGATGATATGAGTGGATAGAGGCCTCCGACGCACCGTCCTCTAAGAATGATTCTCCTTGTGCTCAAATCCTTAACCAAGAAAAAGTGAGGATAGAATTCTATAAGAACATTATTATCAAGGGTGAATCGACGAACAGAAACAAGATTTTTGGAAGTTTGAGGAACATGCAAGACATCTTTAAGGTGCAAATTTTTCATGGGGTTTTGAACAATTGAACTACCAATGTGGGTGATATTCATACCAGAACCGCTTGCCGTGCGAATTTGGTCGCCTCCGTTGTACTTCTCCCATACTGTCAGCTTGTCAAGTTCACCTGTGATGTGATTTGTTGCTGCACTGTCTGCGTACCAATTAGTGTCCATGCCATAGGAGACAGCATGCGCCTCCTTCTCTTCTTGATCATTCTCTTCATAGCGCCACCAGCAGACACGCGCACCTCCTGGATGATGTCTATAGCATATCTGGCACTCAGGATAGTCATGCTGCTGCTCGCGTACCTGTTGTTGCTGTTGCTGTCGAGGGCATCCTCTGAATCCGCCGCCTCTATTTGCAGGAGAAGGCTGGCGGTCACCGCGGTCACCGCGGCCGCGCCCTCTTCCTCCTCGCCCACGGGATCTACCACGGGTCTGGCCGCGGCCTCTGTAGACGGCGTTGGCAGATGAATGAAACCCGCCTGAAGACGAGTCTCCCAGCATCTCCATCCTCTGATCAAAGGCGGGGATCTGAGCGAAGAGGTCATCGGCGGTGATTGTGTTCTTGACAGCGCCGATCGCCGCCACCACGGAGTCGAGTCCTGCGAGTATGTAGTCCACCATCTCCGGATCAGAGACGGGACGACCAGCGGCAGCTAGTTCATCCCCAAGGCTTTTCATCTTCGCCATATACGCCGAGCTCGACATTGTGCCCTTCTTGGTATTGGTGATCGCGATCCTTAGATTGGTGATCCGGGACTGTGATTGCGAGGCGAAGAGATTGTTCACCGTCGTCCAGAGCTCATAGGTGGAGTCCTTCCCGACGACTTGCGCAAGGATTTCTGGAGACATGGAGTTGAGAAGATATGACAGGACCTGCTGGTCTTTGGCGATCCAGGGCCCGTATAGAGGGTTCGGCTCGAGGGCCGTCGTCTTGTCCGTCTTCGTGATCTCCACAGTCTTGGGTGGAGCGGCGTCAGAGTTGTCCAGGAGCCCGGTTACCTGCGCACCTCGCAGGGCTGGGAGCACCTGGGTCTTCCAGAGGATGAAGTTTCCTCTTGCTAGCTTCTCAGATGGCGGCGATCCGAGGTTGAGGCCGACGCCGGACGAAGAAGCCATGGAGACGATGATATGTGGTTCTAGGGTTTTGATTTATGGCTAGATGTAGGAGAAGAGGTGGCTCTGATTACCATGAAAGATAATAAGCGTTCCTACTTCCTCGAGGGGAGCCGCGGTTCTGTTTATATTGATTGATGCGGCCGAAGCCAAGCTTGAAGTACAAGGAATATTACAAGGAGTTTGAGTAGGAGAAGGAAAGGAGTTTGAGATGCTACGGAAACATATTCTCTAACATCGACATGTTCAAGTACCACGACAACCTGCTCCAGTGAAAGAGTTGCGGCCCTAAGGACTCTTCCGCGCACCGTGGATTCTTCCTCATAGGAGTCCGGATCGGCCTCGAGCCGGACAGGAGAATCAATGCCAGAGACGGAGCCGCAACCGCCCAGCGACGCCGTGTTGGCTATACTGCAACCGCCGATGTGCCATAGAAAGAGGAGCACGTAGCCACCCACAACCGCACGAGCCTCAAAAGCTTTCAAGGGGTCACTCTCTGGCCTCTCCGCGAAGTACAGGTGGCCAAGGCTGCACGCCACATCATGTGCTCGTTGGGGCCATGGGTCCAATGGCGAGGGAGGCGAGCCGACGAGGCCTGGACTGTGGAGCTCCACAAGTACTGGGCGTCGTCCCGTTGCCAACATCATGGCGGCGGGCTCGGCCAATGCCTGCAGTGCGCGTACTTTTTACGTGGGGCAGCGGCGGTCTTGACGAGTTCGCGAGAAGATCAACTACAGTGTTCTAGTGTCTACATGCATGGAAGATTGCGCGGCAGCAGGAGCGTTGCCGAGCTCCGCGGAGAGAGAGAGAGAGGAGGGCACATGGTGTGTTTTTGTTGGCTTGCACGATGTCTGGACTCCCGCATATCGCCCCCTAGTTTGTCTCGTGAGTGCTGGAATTTGGACGTCCAAACTGCTCCGCAGAGAGATAAGGGTCCACGGCTGCGTATCTCATATTCGGCACACTATATCCATACAGAATCATGCAATTAGTGTGTTGATCACCAAACAACCAAATTGACCGCGATACCAAATAGAAATAATTCACATAATTTACACAGTTCAACGATCAGCACATTCCATTCTAACTAGATACTAGAGCTAGATTATATAAAAGGAGGAAGGGACAAGCTTCACCGTTTCCTCGCCGGCCCTTTGCCCTTCGGGTCGCCGGCGCTGAGGTAGCCGTCCTCTGCAGGAGGTGGGTTTACGTCGGAGTTGGACCCATCATTAGAGGAGGAATCGAAGATGATGATGTAGCCTTGCAAGCACCGGACGATGTGATCCTGCTTGCGCTTGAGCTTGGCCACCCTCGCCACCTCCGCCGCCTCACGCTAGGTGGCGTTGATCCTCCGAAGCCGCTGGGTGTCCATCTCCGCCGTGGTAAGTGACCGACGGTACACCCACTGAAGGAGTCGGTCCTCCTTGTCGGGCACCGACATCACGCGGTGGCGACGGGCAAACTGCGCAGTCGTGTTGGACGCGCCCCTCATCTCCCTTTGCCCTCTACCTCTCGCGGCGGGCGGCGTGTGCCATCGACTCTGGAGTCTGCATCCGCGGCGCCAATGAAAGTGACCGTGGACAAACGCCAAGCGGAAGTGATGAACGCGCCTGGGCCGTCTCATACCCACCGTATATTTGGGCTGGATATGAAGGATGACGGTTAGCCCATGCGTTTGTCCACGGTTTGAGAACTCCGATTAATTCTTTTTTTTGGTCGATCAGTGACCGGACAGGCTTGGACGGTTAATACGTGTTTAAAAGATCCAGCTGTAGATGCTCTTATGCGAGTGTAGGAGACAAATGCAGCAATTTGTAGACCCGCGTCTATACGGACAGAGCTCAACCACGATGATGAGTTGTTGCAAATCCAAAACGATCGACAAGGTGTTGCCAGAAACAAAAACAAACAGGAACCCTAGTAGGAGTAGCCCCCGGTGCGCTGCCAGCTGCCCCGCCGGCCGCCATCGTCGTCACCCCTGACCCCTCCCACCATAGCCGTCGCGTGCCGCGTCGCACGTGCGGTGTTTTCCATAGCGAATCTGTCCTTCATGTGTTTGTGAGTGGCTGGAGTGCTGATCATGCCCACCGAAGCCAGACGCAGAGCAGTACTACTAGTAACAGCGATCGTGCATGCGATCCTTCACGTACACATCACCGGCGGGCTCCATGATACCTTCCTTCGCGCAGAGACTCCATGAACCAACGTACATGGGCGCCAGTAAATAGGTTTGGTGCTGATGGACAATGCCATTAAGGTGACCGATATGCCGCCCATGCCACTGTGTCGAACATTCAGAGGTCCGCCGCATTTCAAGCGGAGCTGAGGCGATCCCACGGCCGGCGGCTGCCGCGTCACGTCGACGAGGTCCTAGTCGTGCCAACCAGACAATCACCGGCCAGGGTCTGAACGTTCGGACATATTGGTTCCTTTTTCCTCGCACCGTCTTTTCAGTGTGCCGGAAACGGTTTAATGCCACAGATGGGCGGCACCTGGGCTACACACAGTTTTAGGAGCCACGCTGCTAGAGTTACATCAATGGCCCTGTTTGGATACTCTAACACAATTAGTTAAAGTTAGAGTTATTTTTTAATCCACTCTAATCCAAATAAGCACCTCTTCATCGGGATAGTTGGGTTAGATGGAACACACTCTAACCCTTCCTATTTGGATACTTTGGGTTATTTAAGCCTCCAACTAACCCAAACTAGCTCTAACCCCGTGATCCAAATAGGACCAATGCTTATGCTTCTATACGACGGTTTTTCTAGACAACAAATTATGAATCGTGCGTTTAAACAGAAATAACAGTATGTTCCAATTCGTTGGTGAGGAAATCTTTGGTCATGAGAAATCTTCACTAAATTAGCAGTAGTTGTCAATGGTTTAGTTCGGACGGAGTAATTTTTTGCAATACCTGCATAATAGCATCATGCTACTTAATAAATTGACCAGATTTTGACAAAAGATATTCAAAAAATTTCTTTTTTGAGTAAAATATATTCAAAAAAAAAGTTGGCATGAGTCCTATAATATTGGGGGTGGACCTACCTGCCTTGAACCCAGGACCAAGTCCGGTGTGCTGCTGTCTAGGCCCACAGCTCAGACGCCCACTGCTTTATGCCCGAACCCCTGCTCTCCCCAGAATACCCCTCCACTTCTATATACCTCTATATAGTGCGCCAAACCCGCGGTCCTTTCAGTTCACTCGAACTCCCCCAAACCAGCAGCAAAACCACCACTCCAACGCTTGCACTCCTCGATCTATTCTCTCATGGCGACGGCAACTGCGAGTAGGCCCAGCGGGCCGGTCCTGTCGATTCCCAGCTACTGCTCCGCCTCGCCCACCCGCGTCAACCTGCCCGCCGGTGGCGCCACACGCTCGCCGGGCAAGTCCGTCAGCGTCTCGTCCTCCTCCCCTGCCCCTGCCGGCGCCGCCGCCAGCAAGGGCCGTCGGTCCTGCATGTGCTCCCCGACAAACCACCCGGGCTCTTTCCGGTGCAGCCTCCACAAAGAGCGCAAGCAGGCGGCTCCATCTTGCAAGAGCAAGCCCGGCTCCCCGCCATCCATCGGCAGCGCCGACTCGAAGCAGATGGGCAGCGCGCTGGTGCGGCTTGTCCCCATGGAGAGCGGGCACTGGGCACGCAGGGCGCTCGCGCCGTCCCCCGCGGCGCAGCAGTCGCTCCAGCACCGGAGGCGCGTGGGCCGGTCCCGTCCCCGGCCGAGCCGGCTCTCCGCTGTGTCCATGGCCGGCGACCGCGCCGGGGACAACCACCAGTAGACCAACGTCAACATGCCATATAGCAAGATAAAGTAGATGGGGAAAAAATCCCGTAAGAATTCGAGTTTTAGACCAAATTCTCGGTTCCCGCCTGGCCAATTAGCCAGCTCGTAGATTTACATAGTCATAGAGTGAGCCTCTTCGTCCTCTCTGCTCCGCTGTGTACAACTCCCTCTGGTTTTGGATATGGATAATCATGAGTTACAAATTGGAGACACATACATGCATCTAATCTGTCCCGTGGCCGGAGGCCTATCCATTCCGGATCATGGATGATTTGCCGCAACAACTTTCTGCTTTTGTTCCTGTCTCTGGAGTGTGGATGCGTCTCGCCCCTGTTTTGGTTTTGGATAAGCTCCGCAAGAGGTCAGTGGCGTCTCGCCGGCGCTTCCTCCGTCACGCGGGCGGCACCCGTGGCCCCAGCCGGACGGTTCAGGCCAGCAACTTGGAGCACGAGAGCAATCCCCCGATTCCGACGAGGTTTCTGTAGGATTTCATGATCCCAGCGATGAAGGAAGTGAGGCTGCCGCTGAACCAATGTTTTTCTGTGTGTGTATTTTACTGTTGGCGCGACGGACGACCTAGCAGTTGGAAATCCCCGCTCCAACTCTTCAACTTGCGGAAGAAGATGAAGATGTTGGAAGACCGGTGGGCGCGCACAGCTGGCCAGCTTCTTGTCAGTTGTCACCTTTTGGATTGGCGCCATGTAGTACGTTAGTTGGCTCTTGTCTCCCTTTCAAGTGCAGTGCGTGCGGTGCTTCTTTTTCTATACCGACGAAAAATATCAGTGCGGTGTTGGACTTGATCGACGCTCTCGAAGGATTCGAAGGAAGGTCGGTCTCTCTTGCCACTGACACGACATGATTGCCCAAGCGCGAGGGCACGATCGAGTCATTGCACAGTCACTCGGGCTGGAGTTATTCTGTGATCTGCCTGACAAGGAACCAGGAGAAGTTCAGTGCCGCTTCAACTAGGCAATCCGCGGTAGAAGTTTCTGCAGATGCTCTGATAAGATTTTGCTGGGAGATCGGGGGCTGGGAATTGACTTAGCAGTGGTGTGCACTGGCATGTCCCCGTCGTGTTCTTTTTGACCTGCAACGCCGGTTCTTTGCACTAGTTCTAAGTTCAGAGTGTGCAACATAAATTCAGTTTCCCTCGGGCGCAGGGTGTTGGACTTGGGGGACCGGACAGTTTATTTAGCAAGACATGATGAGTGATGATCTGGAATTGCTAATAGCCTGTAGGCGGGGCGATGTCAACCGTGTGAATTACGGTCCGAACTTCTGACTTTGTGCATCTCGATCAAGGAAAACTGTTTCAGAAGAAGCACTAGGGTAAATGTTTCATGAAAAAAATGTGCAAGATTTCAGATCGGGTTGGACATAGGTATACATAGGGGGTATGCATTGCTCGCTTGATGACAGTGAATCTTTTCTCCTCATAAATTCATTATGTTTCTCCTAAAAGTTTTGCTAGCTCCTCGGGAAGCTAATTAATTGTTGTGGCTGATCACGGAGATTACCATGTGTAGTTGGTTAATATCGGGAGGATATGCAAGTTTTGTATACCTGGTCTTTGTAGAAGATTTTTTTTACGGGAAACTTTCTAGATGAAACTGAAATCAGATATCTGCAGGAACGGCGGATGCATGCGGAAATTTTATCTCAATTTACATGTCGACGTATCGCTATTCTGCCTCTCACCAACGGACGAGACTTGCCTTCTCCCCCGGCGTGTGCCCATCCATGCTCCCGCGTATGTGGCTTGATTTGATTGAAAGAAAATAAAGTCCGGCCCCACCCCTTAAAATCAGGGGGATGTTTAGATTACAAAGAAAAGAGAAAAAAAGACAACCGTAAGATGAAGTGGGAGTATAGATGGGAGCATGAAGAGGGAGCAGGCAAGCCGGATCACTCACCGACTCGCTGAGTTGATCTACACCAAGCGTGATCCTGACGACAGGAACCGCGACAAACGCTTAATTTCCCTGCGCATCACCGTGTGCCTGTTACGTCGTGGATCCATGTCGTCGTCGGCCGCGATTAAATTTCTGGATCTTTTGCTGACGAGAAAACTTGTTAATTAATCGTACATGTGGGTGTACGTGGCTGGTGTCAGGTTCAGTATATGTCGTTTGGTGGTAACTTTTTGTGATTTACATTGTTGTCGTGTCATTAGCGTGCACACATGCATGGAACGCAGGTTTCAGCAGCTCATGGTCGGCACGAACAGCAGTAAATAAATCGCCTCGGCCAGCTTTGACAACCGGACCGCCTTCTAAACTACTCGCACTACAAAGAGAGACAAAATAATGCAGGCACGAAACGTAAATTAAATATGAAAGGGTGAATAATTGTGAGGACATCGCGCCGGCTTCTGTCTCTGCTCAACAAAATATTTGCTATCGGAGTTGTAGGTTATGGAGCAAGGGGAGGGTACGTGCATGCATGGCTTCTACTGGTTGCCTGCCATGCATGGTGGATAGTCGATGCACGTGGCGTCTCTTTCAGCGCGCGCGTGTAGCTAGCTAGATCGAGCTAGTAGCGTGGGAGCTGACCAGGACGGGATAACTGCCTCGCCGACCGGCCAGTTCGGTCCGGCACGTGGTCCTCCGTTTGGCTCTTGCCGGAACCGGGGGCAATGCCACCGGCCAACCGAATGCCGTCGCCGTCGAACCTTCCCGTTCTGTGCCACGGCCGCACTGGCCGGTGGCTCGACTGCGCACGCCAGGGTCTACTACGTGCCTATGTTGCTTCACTTGTAACAGAGCCAGCGGGCTAGGATGATTTACCACCGATTGCATACGTGCATCTCAGGATATCACGCTATATCGAGATTGGGTCGGTCCAGGCTTAGACCAATTGGATACACGCAGCGCGTGCTTTGGCCGAAATGGATTAGTAAGATCTTCCTCTTTCAAAACATATCAACGAGATTCTTCTAAGTGCAGCATCCGGTTCGGCTCGTCCCTTTTAGTATCTCCCACGATCAACTTTTGTTTTTGAGGTCTTCTATACTATTTTATCATTTTTCCAAAACCGGGCAGACAATCATATATATTTGCGCGCAATCAAGCGAAGAATATGTTCAACAATAAGCGCAGCACGATTTGAAGATCCACCACCAAGCTCCGCATGATTGATGCACATGTTTTGCACAAACGGATCTACATTTTGGAACTGTCTATCAGCAGGCCATGTGATCAGGGTATGTATGTGTCAACCGCCGTGAGTGGTGCAGCGCATGAAGCCAGGCAACGACAGCTCGGCTCGGCAGGGCTAAGAGCATCTTCAACGGCTGCGCGAAACGACGCGCGCGCTAAAGGTAGCTTTTAGCGTGCGCGGGGCGTTTTGCCGTGCTTTAGCGGCGGCGGGAAAACCACGCGCGCGGGAACCGCTTGCGCGCGCGCGAAAAGGCGCTAGCTCGCGCGTCATTTTTGCGCACCGCTTCCAACGCGCCACGCGCCTCTCCAAGCCTCCTCTTCTCCTCTTCCTCTCTTTGGCACGCGCCGCTTCAGCGCCCGCGTTCGGCTACCGCGGCGTCCGCCTGCGCCCCAACGGCGGCTACTACGCGGAGATACGCTCCGGCGATCTCCGGCTCGGCCTCGACACGTACGGGACGGCGCGCGAGGCCGGCTGCGCGTACGACGCGGCGGCGTGGCGCCTAGGCCGGCCGCGCGGCCAGATGAACTTTCAGGATGTCTACACGCTCCAACAAGCGCTCGACCGTGCCCCGCCGCCGCGTTTGAACACGGCATAAGACCGTGCGGAGCACAACGAGCGGCAGCGCCGCCTCCTCGTTGCCCAGGAGGACGAGCGGGTCATGACGGAGTGGCGCCACCGTCACCCGGAGGACGTCGCCTACGAGCAGGCCTTCTGGGCAAGGCGTCGCGAGGAGGACACGCGAAGGCGCCGCGAGGCGCGGTTGGACAGGCGTCAACGCAAGGCGTTGGCGAACGCGCAGTCCGATCTCATTACAGCAGGTGGGCAGTCGTTCTTCATGCCGAACGATGATCTGTGGTTAGACATCTGGCTGGATACCTCGGACGACACCGCTGAGGAGGATAATGGTGATGATAGTGATGATAGCGACTTAGAGTAGTTTTTTTTTATGCAATCTATCTCGTTTTTTATCGTTTGTCGTTTTTAATTATTATGCAATCTATGTTTCGGATGTAAAATACCTTCGTATCGTTTTAAAATCTATGCAATATATCTATTTTTCAATGCCTGCATTTAGTTTAAAATGAGTGAGCGCTGCATTTTTTGCGCACTGCATTTTAGCGCGACTGCTGTAGCGGGCGCGCCAAACCAGCCGATGCGCGCGCCGCATATGTGTTTTTTGCGCGCGACCGGCGCCTGTTGAAGATGCTCTCTGTTGCTAATCTAAACAACAAGGTGTGGGCAGAAAACGTAAACAAAATGAACCCTAGTAGCGCCCGCCCCAGAGCGCTGCGTGCGCCAGCTGCCGCGGCCGGCCGTCGCCACGCACCCTCCCAATCCTTGGCACGCAGCGAGGTCGGCCATGTGCGCGCGGCCGGCCGTCGCCACGCACCCTCCCAGTCTGTGTCCGTGGCAGCCGCGAGGTCGGCCGACCATGTGCCGCGGCCTGAATAGCCGTTTCGCGCGGCGTCGGGATGTGGTGACCGTGCGCATGTGCGCGGCCGTGACATGAACAGTGCTGTTTTTTTAGCACTAGATCTGCATATGGGTTGAAAAAACGGAACACCAGAACTGTCCTTTACTGCGTTGTCAGTGACTGGATTGCTGATTATGCCCACAGAATCACAGAGGCAGTGGGCACGGTGTGTTAAACAGAGGAGCATGCAGTACTGCACAAGAGTACACGACGATAATATCCACCGGCATGCATGTTGCCAGGGACGGACTTTCACAGTGAAACAACCAAGATCAAAAGACGGGAAGAGGAAGAGAGAGCGAAAGAGGGAGTGAAAGAGACGGCCACGATCGATCGTCCGGTCGACCAGAATCAAAGGAAGC